CTAGGAAAAAGAGGTGTTACACAAACACGGGGTCAGAATAGCTCAGTAAATGACTCCTACTGAAGGTTTCCAAAATCTACCGTTCACCACAAACAACGGTTGTTGCATACAAGAGGCCTTTCTATGAGAGCTGGCAGCAAGCCTGTGTAAGACCACACTTACGAGTTCAGAATACAGAGTCAGACAGCACATTATTTAAAATCTCAATGAAAGAGGTTCTCATGCTTGGAATGCTACTGAAGAAACACCAAGACCTCCTTTGGCCCTATCAGAGAACATTTAAAATCAACGGAAGGTGTTTTTGAGACAGTCTTTGGCTCCCCCCCCCCCCCAGGGGCTTGTATATCTCAGGCTGGCTGCGAGCTCATTGTGTAGCTGAGGGTGACTCTGAAATGGTTTTTGTTTAAATTAACTATTTCATTTTTTTCTATTTGTTTAGCAGGTCTGTGTGGTGCTGGGCACACGTATGGAGGTCTGTGTGGTGGTGGGCACACGTATGGAGGTCTGTGTGGTGCTGGGCACACGTATGGAGGTCTGTGTGGTGCTAGGCACATGTATGGAGGTCTGTGTGGTGCTGGGCACATGTATGGAGGTCTGTGTGGTGCTGGGCACATGTATGGAGGTCTGTGTGGTGGTGGGCACATGTATGGAGGTCTGTGTGGTGGTGGGCACATGTATGGAGGTCTGTGTGGTGCTGGGCACACGTATGGAGGTCTGTGTGGTGCTGGGCACACGTATGGAGGTCTGTGTGGTGCTGGGCACATGTATGGAGGTCTGTGTGGTGCTGGGCACATGTATGGAGGTCTGTGTGGTGGTGGGCACATGTATGGAGGTCTGTGTGGTGGTGGGCACATGTATGGAGGTCTGTGTGGTGGTGGGCACACGTATGGAGGTCTGTGTGGTGGTGGGCATATGTATAGAGATGTATGTATGGAAGTCTGTGGTGCTAGGCACATGTATGGATATATACGTTATGTAAGTCTGTGTGGTGGTGGGCATATGTATAGAGATGTATGTATGGAAGTCTGTGGTGCTAGGCACATGTATGGATATATACGTTATGTAAGTCTGTGTGGTGGTTGGTGTATGTATTATGAAGGACAGAGGACAACATGCAGGGGTCAGTTCTCTCCTTTAGCCTTGTGGATCTTGGGGTCAAATTTAGCCGCCAGCATTGGTGGTGGGTGTCCACCTGCTTGACCGTTTCACTGGCCCAAGTCATTGCTTCTCAACTGTACCACTTATGATATTTGTCTAGGACTCTCAGGGAAGGGATACTTGAAACTAAGAGAGAATGGACCACTGGCCTTGGATTACTGACCGCCCCTCCTTCCCTTCTGTGGCCCAGCTCTGCCTAGAGTGAAATATTTCTTTCTCTCTTGTCACTCTGAGCCCCTAGTGCTTCCCCTACCTCTGTCCCCAGGCTGGACTGAAGCGTGAGAAGCGATGCCCAGAGACGACGGCTGTGTGTGTGCATGAGTCTGTTATGTGTACTTGTAAGTTTCCGGCTTCCTCCTTTTCTGTCACATTTAACTCCGTTAAAAGAGCAGAAAGAAGAAAAGAGAGACAGTGACACTCCTCCAGGCAGGGAGAACAGGCCTTTCAGAGAGGAAGCGTGGTAGGCCAAGGAGTCCAGGGATGGGAAAGAGGAACCTCGCAGCCGGATGCGGCTATGCCTTCCCAGTTCCTTCCAGGCTAGGCACGTTTGGGACACCCTCAACCCTGTCTGACCTGGGGGCATGGCCACGTTGTGAAGGCCCTAGGCAGAGGATGAAGCCTAGAGCTTTTGTCCACATCTTCTCCTGGAGAAGGAGAGGCGGTCCATGGGGGTGGCTGCCACTGTCCTGCTCCTCTTACCTCCCAAGAGGTGGCACATCTCACTGGCAACCTGAGAAAAACCACTGTTCCCCTCCTCCTCCCCCAGAGGTGGATCGTTTTGAACTCTTAAGCTTTGGAGTATCAAAGCTTTTAGAAACTGGGTGAGAAAAACCGTTGGCGATGTCTTTCTTAAAGCACAGTTGAAGTTCATCTTCCTTTCTGGATTGAACTAGAGCTGCCCGATGAGATACACTTGGTATATCAGTGGTCTGTCGTGACTGTCCCTGTGGGCTCCCTAGGGCGTCAAGGTGAAGTAAGCTTGGCCTGAGAGAGACTTGAGGACTTACCCCACAAAACTTGTGCTGCTGTTTAAGGATGGCGGTTTCCTTCCTCCGTGACATCGTCTCTTGCACAATCCAGAGGCAAAGTTAGCTATGTAGTCTCAGCACCCGGGAGGTAGGGGACCATCATCCCCGGCGAGGTATCTAGTTTTGCTGGTTTGCTTTTGTGTTTTGGAAACACTATTACTCTGCAGCCCAGGCTGGCCTTGAACTCACGGTGATTCTCTCGCCTCAGCATCTGGAGTGCTGGGCTTGCTGTCTGGAGCATGGTTTTATACACACATTTTCATCCAGTGTCTGCTGAGTTCTCTACGACTGTTTCTCTATTTCATATTGCCTGCCAGAATGCTTAGAACCACTCTGCAGACGCTTTCTGTTTTACCCTAACCAACCCCTGTTGAAGCTTAATTTTCACATTTGTTTTTTCCTGGCCTCACTTCAGCATTCGTACCTTTCTTTAATTTTGAAACAGGGTCTCTTAAACCGGACTGGCTTAGAAATGCTCTCTGTACCCCAAGCTGGCCATGAATTCCCGATCCTTCTACTTCATCCTCCTGAGGAGATCTTGTTTCTGACTCATTTCCCCTGGGGAGGTGTCTGTCTGTAGGAGCTGCTCTCATCCTCAGACACACAAACTCGGGGGCAAAGAAGGAACTATCCACAAACCATTGTGTTTTCCCTACCTAATAATATCCCTGTGGTGACCAAGCTTCCCACAGGGCATTTTCTGGGCAGAGACCATGTGTTTGATAGAGAGAGATTAAGTCCTTCTTCGCTATAAGTTTCTACTTGGGTCCCTTTAAGAAATTTCTGTGTGTCTATCTGTAAGTCATGTGTGTTTCCTTCCCTCCCTCCAAACCATGCCTCAGGTACATTAACCTTCCCTCTTCTCTTCTCTTCTCTTCTCTTCTCATCTCTTCTCCTCCTTTTTTTTTTTCTCCACCTCCTCGAGACAGGGTTTCTCTGTGTAATAGTCCTGGAACTCGCTCTGTAGACCAGGCTGTTCTTGAGCTCAGAGGTCTGTGTGCCTCTGCCTCCCGAGTGTTAGGATTAAAGGCATGGACCAATTCCCAACTGGTGCTCCAACATTTCACTTCCCCAATCTTGTCCTCCCTGAGGGTCTTTGTGCCATTTGCCTGTGTTTGGGACCCTCTCCCCTCCCTCCCCAGCCTGCCTCTTTCTTGTCCATGACAGCCATAGCTGCACTTCTAAAATACTGAGCGGTGGACATGAAAAAGGTTGAGATCTCTGTAGGTGGCACTCCGGGGCTGATAACAGCAACACCTCAGACATTCTAACTTTCAGTCAGGGCTGTGTGACAGTTCCAAACTTTATCTTCCTTGTGAGCCGCTCACAACCCTCTAGGACGCGTCCATTGTCTTGCCATTGGGCTCAATGCCTCGGATTCTGTTGTGAAAGTTGCTGTAATTTGGAGTTATGGATTCTATTTGCATATTTTTGTTTGTCTTCCAACCCTTCTGAGGGTTTTAGTGCCGTAAGGGTCGACTCTGCCTGCCTGGGGTTGTCTGCACACAGCATCAGGTCACAACAGTGTTCCAAGCCCAGGTGTGCCCCGGGCTGCACCCTCGCAATAAACACACTTTCATTTTGTTGGCTTGAACGTCGCTGACTTTGTTCTTATGGGATTTGGAGAAAGATACTACCCTGGGCGGCAGCATTTACAGTGAGTCAGGACTTGGGGTGCCTGGGCCTGGCCTGGGAGGGGGCATTGATATTGAGGAGAGTCAAAGGGTTGACTTAGGGGTTCGGCTGTAGTCGGTCTTGTTGCAGATGGTCTCTACACCTGGCTAGCACAGAGGGACGGGACAAGTACGGTTGTGTTTTTAGGCAAATAATGAAACTCAGAGGAGTCTGAAAACAGCTCAGAGTTCAGTACCTCCCGGCACAGGTGCTGCTGTGTGGCGGTTGCTGGAGCCTTTGCTGGGGCTCAGCCTGTTCCTTTTAAACGGTTACTAACACCAGCAACGCAATCCGTTCTTAGTAAAGCAGAGCGAAGCAGAGAACCCACCTCCTGTCTGCAGCCAGGCTGGCCGTGAACCCCTTGTGTAACTGGGGATGCCCTTGAACAACATCTTCCTTTTTTTGTTTTTGAGACAGGGTTTCTCTGTGTAATCCCACCTATTCTGGAACTCTCTGTTTAGGCCAGGTTGGCCTTGAACTCTCACAGAGATCCATCTGTTTTTTGCCTCTTGATTGCTGGAATTAAGGCATGCACCATCGTGCCTGGCAACCTTGAATTTCTCATCCTTCTGAACGCAGGGATCGCAGGTGTGTTCCCCACACAGAGTTTTGTCTGATACAGGGGATCAAAACCAGGGGTAAGCAAGTCCTCTCCCTACTGTCTGCATCCTCACCTGGAAGTTAAGTTTTAAGGTGCTTTGATCTAAGCTTAAATTAACCAAACCAGTTAGTGCAGTGAAATCATTTTTCTTCTGTTTCACTTCCTTAAAGGTTCACCCTGGTTTCCCCCTGTTCCTTTCCTCACCTGTATGTTGGTGCTTTGGGGTTGGAAACTGGAGGGAACTGGGAGAGAGAAATGATCCAGGAAGGATAAAAAAAATAATAATATGTTAAACACAAACCCAGCCATGCAGCAAAAGTCCACTTCTGCCTCTCGGCTGGGTAGGTTTCAGTCTCACGGCCGGAGACGCACATGTACACACGCCCCTAAACCCACACAGACGAAACCCCTCCGCGGAGAAGCCGGTGACAGGAAACTCACTTCAGCACAGGAACTTGGTAATCGCTTTTGCCACTTTCGGAGTGTTCCTGCTGCCTTAGTCACCTCGAACACCACACCGAGGCTCGCCACCTCCGACTTGAACCCTTCCCGTCCAGCGGTGGAGTCCTTCCAGACTGAATCAGTGGGAGCCTTGGGGAGGAGAGAGGGGGATCCCAGGAGGAACTCGCGGTAGTGATAGGGTTTGGCTATATCAGCCTTGCCATGGCTATGGGGAGCAACTGAGACTTCCGGAGTCAGTCGTCTTGGTGTTGAGACATTCATCAGGCATTCTACAACAGGTAAGGCTTTTGTCTCTTTAAAAACAATTCTTCAGTGTCCCGGGGTCTCTGTAATTTGGTGACCTCTGTAATTTTGCTGAGATTTTTTTTCTTAAAGCTATACATTGTAATCACCTTGTTTAATCCATTATAAAAAGCATAGCCCAAACTTAGAGGTGGGAGTGTGCTCTGCTGTGTATCCCCTCTCCAAAGTCTTAGCAAGACACAATGAGGTTTCCTTGTCATTTTGCTTTGTTTTTATTTTGAGGTGAGGTCCCGTGTAGCCTAGGCTGGCCAATCTGTAGTAAAGAATGGCCTTGAATTCTGGATCCTCCTGTTTCCACCTCCCAAGTGCAGGGATTACAGGTGTGTGCCCACGAAGCCTGGAAGGTCACACATAATCCTAAAACATTAAAAATGTGATTGTCTGGATTTCTGAGGTATTCTCATATATAGAAAATGCCTGTTTGGGGGGGGGGGGCTGACTGCGTCTGAGCTTGCTTGTGTGGGGACTTAAACATCACGCAGTGGCTTTTGATGAAGGAAATCGAAGGACCCTCCAACTTCTACAGGCAACAGTTTTAAAGTTATCTAGTTAGGTAAAGAATATACACACACACACACACACACACACACACACATCATATACACTTGGATCCAGAATTGCTACCTAGTTAGCCTCAATGCTAATGGCCCCTTTCTAGACCTTTCTATTCAATTTAAATTTAGTATCTGAGGTGGTTTCCCACTGCCAATTGATTGCCTGGGTTGTAGCAATAACATCAGAAACAACAGCAAAAACTTGGGAAATCACTGGTTTAAGGCATTTTACCAAGTAAAAGTCACTACTTATTCAAGGAGCAAGTAGTTGATGATCGCTCACCAGTTCTAAGATGCTGTGCATGAGAGAAGAGAAATATAATGAAACCCATTCCATGGTGGACCTCAGACTCTAGTATTCAGAGTGGAAAGTACCCTTTGGGAAACAGTAGGAGAGGCAGCAGGGTGGCAGAGGATCTCAGTGCTGTAGGGGTTTCAAGAAGGGTGTGGGAGTGAGCTATAGCAGCCAGGAGGAGTCAGGCCTTCAGAAGGATGGGAACTCAGCAGATGGAGAAGGGGAAGGTTGTTTTGGACCTGGAGGGCTGTATGGACTTTACATAAAGAGGAGACTAACTAGCCCAAGAAGAGAAGGCAGTTTACCCTCTGCAGGAGGAATAGGGTTAGAAAGACAGGATGTGGGTCAAATGGCGGGTTCAATGAGAACAGACTGCATTCGGTAGTTTTCTAGCCTTCTTTAGCCATTTTTGGGGAGGTTTGATCAGTTTTGCATCCTTGGGCCGCCTTCTGCTTTCTGGTAACTGGTTTGCGATTCCTCCCGGGCTTCTGACATTGCTCCTTAGTACATCGTGGATGCAGAGAAAGGCCTGTGGGAAACCTCCGCGCCTGTTTTTCACATTTTAAGAAGACTTTCAATCATCTGGGTACCGCAGGTGGCTTTCCTCACGGGTGATTGACTAGGTGGATAAGCAAGTCTCTGACCCTATAAAAAGCTTCTCCAAATATTCCGTGAACTTTTCTTGTGGAGAGTGTGAGCCATTTTGGCCACACAGCTGTCATTTCCAGGGACATTCCTTTAGAGAGACAGTATGTTATAATAGTTCCTGGATCACGAAAACTGGAATCTAAATAACATTGAAGATGAGCAAGAGACAAAAGACCCGTGTTGAACCCTGGTTCTACTATTTCTGGGCCGTGGGAACCTCAAATAAGTTACTGAAATTCTCCAGTGTTCCTGTTTAAATTAAAAGCAGCTCTAACAACATCAGTAGTAACTGAAAATTGTTACCTCCAAAGGTTGTTGTCGAAATAAAATATACAAGGTGCTTAACTTAGTGTCTAGCTTACAACAAACTCTCAAAGGCCGACCCTTAGGACTTGTAAAGACCTGGTTATGGACGCAAATGAAAATGAGTTGGTTGCTGGCCTGGGAGCAAGCTGTCTGCAAACTTGCCTATTAAACCCAGTATTTGTTTTAAGGGAAATCGGGGTGACAGGTAAAAGGCTGGGAATTAACTTTTTCTAAATTAATTAATTTATTATTATTTTTTTTACGTACCAACCCCAGTTCCCCGTCTCTCCTCTCCTCCTTCTCTCCCTCTTTCCCCCATCCCACCTCCCATCTGCTTCTCAGAGAGGTTGAGGCCTCCCCTGGGAAGTCAGCTAAGACTGTCGTCCTGTCCCCTTAGTGAGGCAGGATCAAGGTTCCATGTCCGCCCTTCCTCCCCCACCCCATGCCTAGGCTGAGCAAGCAAGGTGTCACTACATAGAGAACGGGTTCCACAAAGACAGTTCATGCATTAGAGTTACATCCTGGTCCCACTGCCCAAGCCACACCGCTCTCACCTGTATTCAGGGGGGAATTAGCATGATGAGCACCAGCTATAGACTAGACACAGGGTTTACATATTTTATAGTGTTAACACGTGAAGAAAAGAACAGATTAGAAAGCGATGTTTTAACCCTTCCCATGCCAGCTCTTCCAACTGCCTAGAGAACTCCTCTGAGATGTTCACAGGTATTTGTGAACATCTGGATGGATGTCTGAAGCCTGTGGGTGGAATTACAGAGGTTCTTGGAATTTGAGGCAGAGAGAACGGTTTATTTCTTGGCCCAGTTTGAGTTAAATCACATAATTGTAATATTTTAATTGCAATGCCAACAAGATCCAGCCGAAAATCCGCTCCTCCTCCACAGTGGGATACTTTTGACCATGAGGTCTTGAAGTATTGCTTGAGGGTCTGGATGCTTAGGTTTGGTGAAAGCCCAGGTTTGAACCTCTGGCTTTTCCTTTCCTCTCTAAATGACAGGTTCACCAGGATTAGAAAGGCCTCCTTTTAGAAGCTGGTATGCTAACTATGAAGCTGATTCTCAATTTTGTGTCAAGATTAGTCAAATAGTGATATTGTTTTCCTTCTAAGACCTTCTGAGAATGGAGAGGAGAGATTCTAGGGGCTCTAACTAGAGAAAGAGAGGGACAATAGCCAGAAAGGGGGCCCTGGATGGGAATTGGAAGGGGATGAGTCGGTCAGTGAGAGAAGGAGGCCTTAAGTGATGGAAGGGGTGTCTAGCGGGGAAAGCAGGGAGTATCGGAAACACCCGACCTCTGGCCTCGTCTGCTGTTTTGCCCCAGCAGCTGCTTGACCAGTCTCTGGGCAGTCTGCGCTAGGAACTGTCATGCTGTTCTGGGATGCGGGCAGCTGTCGTAAGGTCGGTTAGTCTGGTTCTGGCTGGACCTCAAAACTGGGCAGAGAGCTTTCATTCTTATGAGTCTTACCTTAGCCCTGGAATTGAGTCCAGGAATCTGTGTGATCAAAAGCACAGCCCTGAGATGACATGGAACCAGTGGCTTTACAGAGGCCATCTCAGAGCCGTTAAATGAAGCTCTCTCCTATCAGTCCCCAAACGCCAATATGGTCGCTGGAGACAGTGCTGTGGTGTGACTGTCCTCTCTCTGTTGTGACCGCCATTCGAACACAGAAGAGGGTTTTCCTTTGTCCTGAATTTATTCCTTGAGACAGTTTCTGGGCGTGAGAGGACTGGATCAAGGACGTGAGCCTTTTTAGGCGTCTTCTCTAAAACCACTAAGTCAGTGGTTCTCAACCTTCCAGACGCTGTAGCCCTTTAAGACAGCTCCTCGTGGTGTGGGACCCCCACCATAAAATTATTCTGTAGCTGCTTCATAACTGTAATTTTGCTACTGTTATAAACTGTGATGTAAATATCTGATATGCAGGGTATCTTGGATGAGACCCCTAAAGGGGTCACGGCCCACAAGTTGAGAATCACTGCTCTAAGGTATTGCATGCAAGTTGAAGCCGGCAGTATTACTCTGGAGGAGCTCAAAGGAAGGCATTTACTAGCAAGGAGAAAGTGCCCAATCATCTTTCCTCTTTATTTTCCTGTAGAAGGGAATGGAGAAAGTGACCAATCAGCTCCCCTCCTTCCTTTCCTGTAAATGGAAAGTTGGGAAGGAATTTCCAGAGCATTTCTGAATGTCCCATGGCTTCTTCGGGTGTAAGCTGGGGCCTTCTTATCTTGCCAATTGATTTCTGGTAAAACCAGAGTCAGCAGTGACCTCTTCCCCTTTTCCTAGAAAAGAAAACCAGGGCACAGCCTGGTGAGGTAACAGGCCCTGTTCTCACCGCGCCCCTGCGAGCTGTGTGTCGCCACTGTCAGCTTACTGTTGGAGTAACTGGGCAGCTCATACATGACCTCACGGAAGATGATGTCATGAGAAACACTGCCAGTGAGCTGGCGGTTAATCAAGTCCCCCAAAACAAAGTATTGCTCTCTCAGTTTTTATGTTTTAATTGTTATTTACATAATCTGTTGACAAAAACCCTCACTGGTTGAACAGGTGAGAATAAGGTGAATTTTCAGGGCTTTTCACGGAAAATTATTGCACTGGGCAGTGGTAGTACATACTTTTAATCACAGCTCTGGGAGGCAGAGGCAGGCAGATCTCGGATCTCTGTGAGTTCGAGGCCAGCCTGGTCTGCAGTGTGTGTTCCAGGACAGCCAAAGCTACACAGAGAAACCCTGTCTTGAAAAACAATCAAAGTTGCTTTTTGGAAAGTACCAGCTGATAGCCTTGTGTTCTAGAATCAATCCATGCTGGCTTGCAAGAACAGACTATAGTATTTCCAGAAGTTTTGAAAGGTGCTCAGGTCCTCAGCAGCTGTGGGTCTGTTGATGGACGTGCTGTAGGACTGTATGCTAGGCGGCCCTCTCTTCTTCCTTGTTCAGTGGTCTCGTGTTGTTAGTTAGAAACCAGTCACGGGAGATTTACATTACCAAGTCGGCAAACACAGTGTGCTGCTCAGAAAAGTATGATTTTTACAGTGAACGAGAAACGTGAGCCATTAGAAATGAAGGCATTGGGGCTGGAGAGAGGGCTCAGTGGTTAAGAGGACTTGCTGTTCTTCCAGATGAACCTGGGTACAACTCCCAGCTCCCGCATG